CGTCCGCAACGACATCTGCTGTAAGCGTCTCCGTTACCTTGAAGATCCCACTTTCTCTACGATCTGGGTATTGATAAACACAGGAATGGATAAAATTATTTATTCTTGTGTCTACCGATCGCACAGCGGCGATCAGGAGACAACTAGGCTGTTTGAACACCTCAGTGAAGCCTCTGATGTGGCTCTAAATCGGTACCCTAATGCACAGTTGGTTTTTCTGGGGGACTTTTTTTCTGGGAATGCCTGTCATCAGGACTGGCTGTTCCCATACCAGAAGACCGACCACGCTGGGAGAGAGGTGTGGAATTTTGCCTTGTCGCTGGGGCTCTCCCAGCTGGTAAAACAAGCGACTAGGGTACCTGATGTGGATGGGCACACAGCTAACTGCCTCGACCTTCTGCTGACGACCGATCCAGACAAGTACGATGTTCAGGTTACCTCACCCTTGGGAACTTTTTATCACAGTCTGGTGAAATCTCTGTCGTTATATTCCCCACCTAACTACGATTTCCACGGAGTGCGACGAATGTGGTGATACAAGTCAGCAGATTGGGATGAGATGAGGCATTTCTTTGCATCTTATCCTTGGCGGCAGGTCTGCTTTTCCTCTGGAGACCCATCGAGCTGCGCGGATGCCATAACCAATGTGATACGTCAAGCGATGGAGTATTTCATCCCCTTTGCTGACGTGCCCATTGGTGGTAAAGCTTGCCCTTGGTTTAACGCCGAGTGCGCTCGTGCTGAAAAGCAAAAGCATATGGCGTACTTATCCTGGGTCGGTGCTCGAGACCGTAAAGCTCCGGATGTTAGCCTTAAGAAGAGAGCCTTTAACCAAGCCGCCATTTCGTGCAAAAAAGCATTACGCCAAGCCAGTTTCGACCGCATTAAACGCATCGGCACAAAGCTCTCTATCAAACCATCTGGCAGTAGAGCTTTTTGGTCTCTCGCTAAAGCGGTCGAGACAAACTTCTGTCGGTCTACACTGCCTCCACTGGTAAAACCAGATGGCTCACTGGCGCATGCGCATAAGACGAAAGCGGACTTATTTGTTTCTCTTTTTGCTTGCAATTCGCGTCTGGACAGTAGCAACAGCGTACCATCTCAATTACTCACTGCGGTACCTCTATGTCTGAGGTCCGTATCACCAACAAGGAGGTTCTTAAAACCTTGCGAAGTCTAGACAAAGCTAGTGAACCTGATGGTATACCAGCTATAGTTCTAAAGGTCTGTGCACCTGAGTTGTCTCCTGTGTTGACACGCTTGTTCCCCCTCTCATTCAGGACTGGAATAGTGACTAAATCTTGGAAGCTGGCCAATGTGCAGCCTGTGCCTAAAAAAGGTAGCCGTACCGACCCTGCCAACTATAGGCCAATTTCAATTACCTCCATACTCTGCAAGATTATGGAGCGTATATTGAACGCCCACCTCATGATATACCTAGAGCAAAATGATCTCCTCAGTGATCGCCAGTACGGGTTTCGCCGAAAACGATCAACTGCGGACCTTCTAGCGTATGCCACTAACATATGGGGCGAAGCCCTCGAGAACAGTGGTGAAGCATTTGCTGTTTCCCTCGATGTTTCGAAGACTTTTGACAGGGTTTGGCACGCTAGTCTATTGGGCAAGCTTTCAGCGTACGGCTTATCCCCTGGCCTAATTGTCTGGGTGAAGGACTTTCTGAGTGAACGGTCTCTCCGGGTCGTCGTTGATGGCTGCTCATCCGATACTGTGGCGACTAACGCCGGTGTTCCTCAGGGGCCCATTCTCTCCGCAACTCTCTTCCTGCTGCATATAAATGATCTGCTCATTCCCGGTGTCTATGGGTATGCACAGTTGTGGAGAGATACCAACCAAGCGCCCGGGGCAGTTGGGATCAAATCCAATCAGAAAGAGAGGCTATGGTTGAGCGTGTGAGTCTCACGCTACAGGCAGTCTCCGAATGGGGCGATGCCAATCTCGTGAGATTTAACGCTTCCAAAACACAAGCGTGTCTTTTTACCGCTAAAAGGAGCCCGCTCACCTTGGCTCCTACTTTCCGGAATGTATCCTTGGAGTACACTGACTGCCTTCAGTTGTTAGGGATTAAATTTTCTCCGAACCTAAACTATGGGCGGTTCATTGAGTCCAGAGCCAAAACAGCCGCCAGGACACTTGGTGTCCTTGCAAGGGTGCGGCGGTACTTCACGCCGGGGCAGCTTCTTACCTTATATAAAGCGCAAGTCCAGTCGTGCATGTAGTACTGCTGTCACATATGGGCTGGTGCTGCAAAATGTCACCTGGCAGCATTGGACTCAGTGGAGAGGCTCATTGGTGACCTTGATTTGGTTGAAACCAATCTTGTCAGCCTCGAGCACAGGCCAGAGTAGCCAGTCTCTCGGTATTCTATAGGATGCATTTCGGTGAGTGTGCGCAGGAATTACACGCTTTAATTCCTCCCTCACCTTTCCACCATCGGACAACCAGACGGTCGGTGGGTCTTCATCCCTTTGTTGTCGATATTCCACGCATTAGAACCAAACGGTTTGCTTCGTCTTTTATAATGCGTACAGCAAAGGAGTTGAATAATTTGCCGGCGTCTATCTTTCCGTCCGAATACAATCTGGGCGTCTTCAAGGCAAGAGTGAATAGGCTTTTGTTACGATAAGATAGTGCGATTTACCATCCAAGGCTACATCAGCACTTACCACCAGGTGGGATTGTGGTCAAACACTGGCTTATAAAAAGTAAAAAAAAAATTGAATTTATTTTATTTTAGACCCTCTGAGTTCTGCTTGTTTAGTAGTATTAGAAATTTCGTTATGTCGTATTCGCAATTAACCCTGATGCCAGTATCTTATTATAATACATAGCGCGACGAGGCGACCATCGCAAAAAGTAATGAAAATATATTTATTTTGGACAGCTAATTGAAAACATAGTGTTGTAGCTACTAGCGATGGGCGTTGAATGAACGAACGACGTACTGTGAACGAGTTGGTGGTTTACGAACAACCAATGGACTAGTCGAATCCGTAGACGGCTAAAGGAGACAATTTCTTTTTGTATGGAGAATGGGCCCAACACGAATTTCAGAGAACTTTATGAAATGTATGTCGATTTATTCCTTATAATCTATAGATTACAAAATTAATATTAGTTTTATCGCATCTAATGGGAATTCTGAGAAATTAACAATTGAAATATGAATATCACAATAACCTTAAAACAAACTAAACGCGATTTTCTAGTAGTTTTCACAGATATTATGAGTTAGAATAGTGTATATAGAATAGAATAGCTTAATAATTCATAGTATTAAAAAGTTGTAGGTACATTCAGGAATTATAGGTACTTTAAGATGGAAAATCCTTTTAACACTGCCTTCACGTAGTGCACAGACAAACAAAAGTAGCGTTGGGGACTATTTTTACAGGTATTAATTGATTAGAGAATATACATCACAAGCACCATTAAAGTAATTAAATAAATATGATTAAAGACGAGATGAATAACGAATAATATGTCCATTTATAATATTACCTTTGCATGCTATACAGTAAGAAATTCATTTCCACGATAGGGTCTTGGAAGTCAGACGCATATGCGACCGACTTATGGTAGTAAGGTTGCTTATTGAGGGGGTCGTGACCCACTTAATAAGTGCCTACGCCCCACAGGTCGGCTGCACCGACGCGGATAAGACGCTGTTTTGGGATCGGCTCGGAGATGTACTACGCGGCATACCGTTGTCCCACGATGTCGTTTTGGGTGGCGACCTGAACGGTCATGTGGGCGAGGTGCAGGGGGAGTATGAACGTGTCCACGGCGGCTATAGTTATGGCCGAAGAAACGCAGAGGGGGAAACAATTCTCAGAACCTGCACTGCAGCTGACCTGGCCGTGGTGAACACGTTCTTCAAAAAGAAAACCGAGCACCTGATTACCTACAGGAGCGGTCGGAACGCCACTCAAATCGACTATCTACTGACCAGGAGAAGTCATATCAGTAGCGTGGCCAACTGTAAGGTCATACCCGGTGTGTGTCTCACTGCCCAACACAGACTTCTTGTCATGGACCTCTGCGTAAAACCCCGTCGAAGACACGCCGAACGTTGCCGCCATCAAATCAAGTGGTGGCTTCTGGATCAAACCAGATACTCAGAGTTTGACTCTGCCGCTGGGGATATTAATCTCGACACAGCAGGCAAGTCCGTCCAAGAGTGCTGGAAAACCATTCAGACAGCAATCACAAAGACGGCAAAGCAAGTCCTCGGCGTGGCGAAAGGGGGCCGCAAAATCGACAAGGAAACCTGGTGGTGGGACGCCACAGTCCAGGGTTCATTACGGGAGAAGAAAGCGCTTGTCAAGATGTGTCAAGCGACCAAATCTCTGAAGATCGCGCATCTTACAAGACAGCGAAAAGAGAACCATTATATGCTAAGTTGGACACTCCTGAGGGGCACAAGTTCATTTATAAACTGACGCGCTCTAGGGCCAAAGCAGCGCAAGACTCGCTGCTGCAGCGTCAACGGCCCTAACGGCGAGCTCCTGTACGAGGATCGTGCGGTAAAGGAGAGATGGCGCTCTTATTTCCATGTTTTGCTGAATACTCAGCACCGGGAAGTGCACCCTCCCGAACAACTCCTGAACAATGGACTCGTGCCACCGATCACACTTGACGAGGTCCTCGCATCTCTTCGTCACATAGAGAATCGGAAAGCTGTCGGACCGGACAAGGAGCCAATGGAAGCTTGGTAAGCGCTGGGGGCTCATGGTGTGTGCATTCTTACTAACCTTTATAATAGAATCCTGAGCGACCGAATAATGCCCGATCAGAGGCGGTTTAGTATAATAACGCCGGTCCACAAGGGTAAAGGGTCCGTTCAGGATTGCGGTAATTACCGCGGTATAAAGGTGATGTCACACACCATAAAGCTCTTCGAGCGCATTATTGACACCAGGATCCGACAGGAGTGTACAGTGTCGGACTCCCAGTACGGTTTCTAACCAGGACGCTGTACCATGTACCCTATATTCGCCCTAAGGATCCTCATGGAGAAGCACAGGGAAAAGAATATGCCTCTGCATTTTTTATTCCTAGACCTGCAGAAGGCCTTTGACTGTGTTCCTAGGGAGATGATCTGGTGGGCGTTGCGGTCAAAGTTGGTACCAGAGACCTACGTGGAAATCGTACGTGACATGTACCACAACTCCGATTCAATAGTCATAACCGTAGGCGTGCATCAGGGCGCCGTCTTAAGCCCCTATCTCTTCAGTGTGATATTAGACGAACTGTCAGCCAGCGTACAGAAACTACCGCAGCCTTGGCTGCTTATGTATGCTGATGATATCGCACTGGTAGATGGGGACAAATGACGGCTCACCAGAAGCGTGCACGCATGGAGGGAGGCGCTTGAGAACGGCGGGCTGAAGCTAAACGTGGCGAACACGGAGTATATGGCCTGCAACAGCACAGATCTGACGTCTCTCCGTATAGGCGACGACACCGTCGAGCGCACGGACAACTTCAGGTACCTCGGATCTGTGCTTGATGCGTCCGGGGACATCAATCGCGACATCAAGGCCCGTATATCAGCGGTTTGGGCGAAATGGTGCGAGGTGACGGGTGTCATTGTGACCCCAAAAAGCCGGTCAAGCTGAAGAGATAGGTCTATAAGACCATCATAAGGCCTGTCCTTACGTACGGCAATGAGGCGTGGCCGGTGCTTGAGCGACACCGGCAGTTGTTGCATGTCACGGAGATGAACATGCTGCGGTGGATGTGTGGCATCACGCGGAAGAACCGTGTACGGAATACATACATCCGCGGCAGCCTCCATGTCCGTGACATTGCTGACAAGCTGCAGGAAAGTCGCCTCCGCTGGTACGGCCACGTCTTACGACGACCGGCAAGCTACGTAAGAAACAAATGCCTGGACATGACCCTACCTGGTACCAGGAGTAGAGGACGGCCCAAGAAACGCTGGTTTTATGTCGTGCAGGATGACATGCGCGCCAATGGGCTAGTTGCGAGGGACGCCGAAGACCGGGCAAAGTGGAGGAGGAAGTGTAGGAAAGCGGACCCTGGGTTCTCCCGCGCTGGGCGGGATGAGCAACCGGGATAAACGCGAGGTAGAAGAAGAAGATGCTATATAGTAAGAAAGATGTTTTAAACTGTTTGTATAAGGCTAAAACACAAAGTAAAATGCCACTGCATTTATTGTTGTAATTATTTCCAAAGCAGTCTATTTATAGTGGAACAGACAGACAGGTGCCGTGTCAAGACTTTAATATGTTTGGTTGAATCAGTAAAGGTGCAGTGTGTAAACTTTGTTTTAAAATATATTAACTGATTAGTTATCATACGCCAAATACCATTAAAGCCAAAATGACTAGGTAATATCATGGTTATCTATGTTATATTATTACACATATAAATATGAGCTAAGATGTTATAAACTGGTTGTGTAAGTATAACAAAAACACATGTATAATCTATTTGTAATATTTAATTTTAATTTAATTGCATTTTATAATGTTATTATTGTCAGTCATTATCATTTCAAAATAACTTGATAATAACACAACAAGGATATTTTTAATGTTATGAGATATGATATAAGACTGTTGTAGTTGTATTCAATATCCATCCAGTAGCTCTGCAAGATTTCAGCCTACAAGACATACACATTTATTCTAAGCCATCTACCTGAAAAAGTTAATGAATATTATATATATTATTTTTTCTATATTTATTGCAATCAAATAGCATGTGAGGTCTATGTTTATGTTTGTATATTATATTGATAGTAATCAGGACATTTTCAGTAATAAGAGATCTGCGATAAGACTATGTATATACTACGTATGCTTCAATGTCAATAAACTACAAATCTATCAGTATTTTGTTCTCTGCCTGTATTTTAAATAAATAATTTAAAATTAAAAATTTTGTACAGCCGACTTCATTATAAGTTATTTAAGAATAACTCAAAAACTATTGTATCAGCATAAGTATCAGCTTTCATATAAAAAAAGAATCATCGAAATCGGTTCACTCAGTACAAAGTTATGAGGAAACACACATAAAAAAAACATACAGTCGAATCGAGTACCGTCTCCTTTTTGGAAGTCGGCAGATAAGAAATTATTATAAAATATACACCATTAATCAGCTCTAGATGACCAAATACACAAGTAGTAATTATTGATTTACATCAATAATATTTAAATATGTATAAGTTGTCTGACTTCTTATTTTCACTGGCTTCGTATAGAGGCAAAAGATAATATTTTATATTAACTATCTGATAGTAGATTACAAAATAATATTCCTTTTGGCAGAATAAAGATTAAGATATAACCATTATATGAGTAAAAATGGCTTAACTATGTTACAATACTTATGCAAACTATACTTGCTTTTAGTACAAGTAATTACTGCTTATTTACACATAAATATATGTACTATCTATACTGTCTATCTACTATCTACTATGGCTAGCATAAATTCAGGATCCATGTTTGATGCCATTTGGTATTGTCAAGTTTATGGAGCAACTTGCTGAATACATAAGGTATTTATACCCTAAATGCAGTTAAATGAATCGCTCTTCAAAGCCGATGAAGCCACATCAAATAGAGAACCTTCCTTAAATGACCCATTGATTCTAATTTACTTTTAACAAACACAAAAACTTTTTATGCATTTATTCTATCTATTATTTAATTTAGATTTTACTAATAATATAGAACTTTAATACTTCGTCACTTTTAGCAAGGTTCTAAGACCTGTGTTTATCTTTTTTTTTTAGGTCTCCATATTAAGTTAAACACTTGTGCATCGATGAGACAATATTTATTTTATTGTCTTGTAAACAAACAAGTATAAACTTTTTAACTAGTTTTGCTACCAAAAATTATTTTAACGTAAAAATTTTTTTACAGTAGTGATGCAATTCGAACTCTGTGTTTGTGTTATTTGTGTAACTCGGTACTCGAGTGAAAATAAATTTTACTCGAGTCCGCTTGCATTCGAGTTACCGAGTCAACTCGACGCACCATGTGGATTCGAAAAGCACTAAATAGATGTCAGTTCACTAATCCACTAATTCTATCATCTAATCAACTAGTTCACATAGTATAAGGCGCCGCGGGTGAAGTCACTGGTTACATCGAAATTCAAACTTGCATCTTGGCATGTTGTAAACAAAATATGAACTTAGTTTGATTTATAATTTTATAATATCGTGATTGTGCTATCATTGTTGTTTATTTTTGTTACTTTGTATTTTTTATAGGATAGGACAAACGAGCACACAGTCCACCTGATGGTAAGTGGTTGCTGTGGCCCATAGACATCTACATCTATCCTCGCTTGCAAATCAAAATGCAGATGCGTTGTCACCCGTGAGGACTAAGATGGAATGCATCTTTTCCAGTAAAAAGGATCTCCGGTTTCTACACTCACCATACAAAACACACCAATTTTAAGCTGCTATTTTACGCTGGTATTCTGTGAGAGCGTGGTCCTTCCCCGGTCGAGCCGACCCAGTCGTGCTACAATTATACTACTATATAGCTGCAGCATGGCATAATATAAGTAGTGCATATCATAAAAGATGATTTAAACATACTTGTTTTTTTAAAGTACCAGTGATAACAATGACACAACAAAACAAAAATAGTCAGTGTGGCATTATTTTCAAAAATGGATGCGATTTGTAAGATATGCGAAAAGCAGTTATTGATTTTGAAATACTACACATATCTGTAGTAAATAAAAAACATGGAAATACTACAAATAAATAAATAATAAATATTTGAATTTTATTTCATATTGCCATATATTACTTATTTATTAGCAAAGGTACCTATTTAAAAATGCTTTAACTAAGGTAATCGCTATTCTCGACTCGAGTGATAAACTTCAATCGATGCAGGGACTCTAAAAAGATAACTCGAATAACTCAAAAACTCGAGTACAATTAGAGTGACATGATAAAACCCGAGTGACTTGCGTCACAAAATTCTACTCGAGTCACATTTTTATCTTACGGTCAATGCAGTGTCTGTCTACAATTTAGTGATGAACTCGACTTACTAATTCGAGCAAATTATTGATGTATTATGTAATGTCAATAAGCTGATTAAGTATAATTCGTGATAGTTAAATTATTAATAACATTACGCTACGTCATAAAGTTAGAGTGACATTATTTTATGAAGATGTGTGTTGTATTTTATGATGATTGATACACAAACCAATAATATATAACTACCTCTTACTAAGTAATAATAATAATTATCTTGGATGGAAGAACAAATATAAAAATAATTTGTAACAAACTGACACAGCTTCATTCCGCCAAATCGAGTTGCGTAACTCGAGTACTATTCGATTACGTGAAATTCAACTCAAGTTAATTCGAGTCGAGTTTCTTCCGAGTTGACACATCTCTATTACAATTGTTTTTAATATTACTTTATCTGAACCAATGAAATGAACATAAATATCAAAAGAACTCTTTTTTTTTATTTCTTGATTCCGTTTAAATTTCCATTAAATTTGTAGGATATTTACTATATTAAATTGGTATCTTTTTTGTGTTTTTTGTGGGCTTAAAAACGACTGCATGTTGACGACACATCGCTAGAGACAATTTAACATTAATATATATATATATATATATATATATATATATATATATATATATATATATTATTGTATTACATAATTTAACATTCTTAATTATTTCTTATATTTACGCGAACACTACACATGTAAATAAAACTAATTTTACGGATTTCATCGCGTATGTTATCTTATATTCCCGACATTTCGAGCACTTTACAGTACCCATGGTAACGGGATGGACTGAGGTGTATAACGTCCCAATGTCATAGTTAACCACGGTTACCTCCAGATTAAAAATTATTAATTTTTGTTCCGATCTACACAGTATGAACTTACAGTATCTTTTTTTTTTATAGAATAAAGGTGACAAACGAGCACACAATCCACCTGATGGTAAGTGGTTACTGTAGCCCATAGACATCTACATCTATCTCCGTTTGCGAATTAAAATGCAGATTCGTTGTCAGCCGTGAGGACTAAGATAGAATGCCTCTTTTCCAGTAAAATGGGTCTCCGGTTCTCTACACTCACCATACGAAACACAGCAGCATTAAGCTGCTATTTTACACTGGTATTCTGTAAGAGTAAGTATGCCCGTGGGTGTCGTAAAACGCGACAAAGGGAAACTGGGAAGATGGGCAGTAACATCTTCCTGATAACAACAAACTTACAATAAAAAAACTGTGGTTGCCAACCCACGCGCCATGCGTGGCAACTATGGCAAATACCCCCCTCTGAT